ATTGATGTAAATTATGATAATTGATTACTTGGAATGACAGGAAAGCTTTTCGTTCATCGATCGATTTTTCATGCTCCGCAGGCCTCCACCAATACGATACTTCAATTGTTGATAGATTTGTTAATAATGAACATTTACAAGAAATTTTGTTTTGGTGGGTGTGTGCGGAGGTATTTTTTTTAATCAATTTATGGCAAAAATTATGAGATTTTGATGATTTTTGCCAAATTACGTCAGGTTTACGTCACAAATATGACGTCATAAGTAGTCAATCTCCCGAACTTTTGCTATTTGTGGAATGCAATGATGGTAAACTGTGAAATATAAGTAAAGTCGATTTTATTAACTAGCTTTGAAAATTCGAAAAATTTGGGGCCGATTTTCGCACATGGAGCCCCTACCTCTTTTAATATGTACTCATAATTTGAATCAGTACTATTTAAAAATAATCATTACAGTTAGATATAAAATTTTTTGATTAAAAATGCTACACATTTTATAAGGACCACGCTAAAAAAAGAGTATTCCATGTAACCCTCAAATAAAACCCAACAATTTGTTAAATGACCATGAAATAAAATTATGCTACCATTCTCCCGTAACATAAACTATGTGACTAATCATTGGGGAATTAATGAATTACCGGTAGCTTTTAATTAATAAACAAGTTATGAAAAGAGTATATTTACTTTTTTTTTAAATGAAAATACCAGAAATTGATTGTGATTTATTTATTTATTTATTTTATTTTTTTTTTTTTTGCTAGTGTTTACCTGGCCGATTAATGTTTATAAGATGGTATCAACACCCATTGTTTCAATCGCCCTTGGGCAGAAAAATCGATACATGTTATTTGGGTATTTGTATCAGTGTTATACATCATTCAACATGCTGGTAAACAATGACCCTAATTCCAATTTATTTAATGCGAAAAAAAATGTGATAAATGAAATGTGTATAAATTTCTTTCGTGATTAATTACACTGTAATTTTGAACATAATCTAAAGCTTCCATTCTGGTGATTTACAGATGTACACTCTAACATTTACAAATAAAACACTTAAAACTGAGTTTCATAGAACTAGGCATTAACGATAATTAAATTGACATGTCAGTAAAAATAATCATGACAGAAGAATAATACTTGGCAAAATTAACAAAGAATTTTTTAAAAAGTCCCAATATTTCAGAAAACTTTAGAGTATCCTGATAGTCTAAATTGGCCAAATCTATTTAAAGCTTCTTCTGTTGGAAAATAATTAATTCACGTTTAATTTTCTTTATAAGAAATAAATATGGGAATCAGTATCAATCACAGAAGAATTATTAATATATCCAAGAATTGTGATTAAATATTCATGTTCAGTGTAATTCATATATGTACATGTAAGTGTGAAAGCCTTCTTCCTCCAATAAATATCACATTAAATTATTTCAATTTCTATGCGCGTACATGTTCTGTTCATAAATGACCTTCGCGGACATGTAAGGATTCCTGGCATACTACCCAGAATCAATTTCTACTGCCTTTTATAGTTCCATTGTTTATTGGAAATCTCATTTCTGAGTTAGCTCCGCCCATTGAATAAACCCCACCCACTGGGACTGCTTTCTGGGACTGCTGGGACTGCTCTCTGGGACTGCTGGGACCGCTCTGGGACTGCTGTGGGACTGCTCTGGGACCGCTGTGGGACTGCTTTAGCAGTCCCAGAAAGCAGTCCCCGGGACTGTTCTGTGACTGCTTTGTGTCAGGTTGGGTCTGGTCGGTACAGTATGATTTTGTTCTTTGCCAAAATACTTTAAACGGTACCATAACACAAACAGAGTTTCTCATGTCGGTCTAATCGTGGCACGTCTCTCTTTTTTGACAACGTCAGACACCATTGAAAGTTGCCAGTCGACCTCATGAATCATGATCCGCCAAAAATTACTGAAAGGGTCTATAAACAAGTCTCTCATTAACCTCATTACCTTTGTATGTCTGGTTAATCATCGTACATGTAACTGTCTCTACTGGCGATTTCCCTATTTTGACGCAAAAGGGCATTACAGCTCGTTTCAGCGATTTTTGTTTACGACATTTTCTTTGTTAAACATAGCAAATTGAATCAACAAAATATGTAATCAAAAAGCAACAAAATATGTAATCCAAAAGCAATGACGTCATTTTATTTTTAAACTAAGACTTCAAAATGTCGTAAAAATTTCTTTTTTAAAAATATTGGGCGATTAGACGTTTTTTTATGCTTTTTAATTTGTTTGTCTTTTTTGATTCCACCAATATACACTTTAAAGCCTTACATTAGTTGTGACGCGGCGACATCCCTTATGTTGAATGTTTCAAACGTCTATAAAATAATTCAAATAAGCATTATTAAATCAAATTTACAATTCTGATTAGATTTATGTTTGTGCATCTTTTGATACATTCTATTTGAAAATATGATTCCAAATATAAAAGATATGGACACAGTGATATTAATTTTGGACTAACCCTGGTAATTTTACTTAACCATTTTATTTAAATGTAAAGAAATCAAGTGCAATAGCATAGCGTTTCAAAAATTATGCTTTTTGGGCTCTATTTTGTTGTTTTTAAGATGCGGGTACTATACATATAATATATTAATGGAAAGCTCTTTATCTGCTCTTTTCAATGCATCTAAAGACATTTAGATTCCTTGGAACTTTAAAGAGTTACGTCAATATAACATATTCATTTGGAAATGGGCACCTGATCCTGGCCAAGCCGAGCTGCATTCATATTTATCTGTTTTCAGGGGAGGAAGTAGTATTAATGAGTTTTGACTTTCATCTCCATATTTCCTTTCTTAAATGACGTACTCACCAAAAAATATTTTGATCATAGAACAATAAAGAAGCTAAATTACAATATTTTATTAGATATGTGTATAAGTATGTTACATACTATTGGTTTAAACAGACAACATTAAACAACGGCGAAACGCAAAGAAAACAAGAAGAAAATTATCTTGTCGATATATTCGTTCAAAAATGGAATGATGTTTACGTAATTTTAAAAACCATCTATCATAAAAATAATTTATTTGCAAGGTCATACGTTGTGGTGTTGTAGTTATGCAATAAACACTGACATATACTTATTGATCATCATGAAAACACACGAACTGAGTGACAAACTATATGTTCGGAAGGATATGGAGATAACGAATAGTATTCAATATGAAAGTCTAAAAAACAATACAAAATAGTAGCAGAGCAAACACGGACTTACAAAACATCAGAGGAGGGATCAGGTGCCATGGAGGAGTGAGCATCCCCTGCTGACCGGTCACACAACCCGTGTGCACCTTGTCATGATCGGGAAATAACAGAAACATTCGTCGTCAATTCATTGTATCAATAATGGACTAACAATAAGTATGAAAAACTTCAGTCAGCATTTGACTCAATAATAAATTGTATTTGCTGACAAGATCATTGTATCGACCATAGAACTTACGAATCGATGACTTTAAACGAGACTTCTGATATTCTTGTTTTATTTACTTGCTTGTCAATAATTTACCTCGATTAAGAAATTGTTCATACGTAGAGCATGCTCTTGCGTATCAAATCAACTGAGATATATATACTCCTTATGCAGGTGATGAAGGTATATTGCTGCATAAGTAAAGAAAGTTTACAATTGAAAAGTTTAAGCCATCACATTTATCAAATAGTTTGGTTGTTAGATTACCATTAATGTCTTTTTCAAGTAACGGATAGACATTCGAAAATCTACTTAGTCAATAACAACAACAATAAATTATACCGAATTAAATAAACATAGATCAATATTTGTTACTTTTTAAAAAAGGAAAAATTTCAAAAAATCAATTAAATATACCTCTGACCTACTCAAGCGACCCAAAGCGTTAAATTGCATCCAAAACATGACATTACAGTTCCCACGTGGATTGAATTAAGTATGTAAAGAAAATGAACGTTAGTACAGTCAAATTGCACGAAAAGTCATCATTGCAATTGGTACCTTCTAAGCCAGTTAATCACATGAATGTCACTTAAAAAAGTGTTCAGAGGCAGAAAATACGAATCTCTGGAAATTCAAGAATGGGATCAGGTGCCTATGCGGAGTAAATATCCTCTGTTAACCTAAAATATCCACCTTGAACCCTATGTGTAGATTTTGTAGACAGAACAAACAAATTTTAACACTAGCTATGAAACTCGTTAGCCAACATACTGCCCAATGGAAGGCTCTATGTTATGTTTATATTTTTGTTATTTTTAATGTTAATTTAACAACCAAAAATTCAACAAATTGTTGACTTTAAACGAGGTTGTTGAAATTTCTGTAATAAGAACTTGTTTGTCACTAAACTGTCATGTTAAAACATGGGCGTTCTCTATGCTGGCTGGTGAGTATAGCAAGGTACTTTACCTACTGATAATTTTCAAGATACTCAAAACAATATCATTACATGTTCTTAGACAAAAATTCAGCATGCCTCACCAGGAGTTTTGAACAGATATCAAATTATGAATTTGTTTGCATTATTCAAAGAAAAATATACAAATATTACGAAACATACATTCCAGATTTTTTTTCCCATTACAATTTGTTTAAGAAGAGGTGTACCCATATATAGACATTATAAGTATTGCACATAGGTCCTTCATTAAGTTAACTCTTCAACTCCAAGGAAGAGCTCAATTAAGTTCAAACTAGGTTGCGTATAACCTTAAATTGGGAGATGTAAACAACATAAGACGTTTACTTTTTTACCCTTTTCTCCCTGTCAGGATTTCACACTCTTGCATTGAATTGACATCACATTCTTTTATGACATAATGTCCTTGTAGTTCAGAAAAGTCACTGCATAGAATGTGTTGTCAGTGATATTTTTCAAGGAGCCTTAACGTACCTACGTAACTTATTTCAATATTTTCAAGGTTATGGCTTTGTGTTGATTTTTATTTTTAGGAATGGATGTAATATTTCAAAAATATTTCTTTATATCATCATCCGCTCACATATGAACGAAAAAGCAAAATCACAGCTGTGGTCATCCCAAGACATTCCAATGTTAGCACTCAGCGTAAGACATTCGTCACTTGTGGTTGTATCCGGCTTACCGGGCGCCCAGTCAGTGAAGGTAATCGGTTTAAATGTTGTTGACCACCTCCATCTGTTCTGCGAGAAGGCATCTGTTCCTCCAATAAACGCTGTACCTTTTTAAATAACACATATTTGTTACAAGGAACGCATGGAATTTTAACGAAATTTCTGAAAAGAATAAGATTTATAAGGTAAATTTAAATGAAGTTAAGAATCTGAAATAGGCAGTTAACCCTGAAGACTTTTCATTAGATTTGGTAGAATAAAATGTCATAAGAGATACTCTTTCCTTCAATTTAGTCATTCTATGAAATTCATTAAAAAAACCTAGTTATTGAAGTCTATTTAAATAAAGTTAAAAACCAGAAATTAGCATTATACTATGAAGATTCGTATTCATTTAAAAATAACGGAACAAAATATCCCTAGACATGCTGTACATGTAAATATCTTTGAATTTCTACCACTCTCACACTAAAGTAAATGAACTCAAATATGGCAAAGCTCACCATAATTATTCTCTACTGCGTAATTTTTCAGAAATGTATTTTCTTCCTTAGTCTCTATTTCTGCCAATTTTGCTCCAAGTTCTTGGCACTCAAGCTGTGGGGTAAAAATATTTTTATAAATATGTAATTGTTTTTGTTCGCAAATACAATTACTACCTGTAATCTAATGGATCGAGAGGTTTACTTACAAGTGACGTGACAATGTGTACGCAAAACTTTGACTACATGGTATACTTGAGGTCGACGTCAATAATATGATTTATTATATAGTCTATTTATAGTCCCTATATAATCTATACAAACGCAAACAGTTCATAACACTACATATTCACCGGATTTTAGGCCGTATTCACCGGAGGGTCAATGCATGTGCAACGGCATTGTGACGACGGTCAAAACATCAAACAACGTTGTAAACAATGGTTGCAACGGCCGCAGCGAGCTACGTATCTGAGCAGGAAAACAAATATTCAAACCTATTTCAAGATTATTTTATAACATTTGGACGTCTTACACATAGCAGACCTCGGAAAGGAAAACACAGAGGTTACAAACAGTAATCTGGAGATTTTTTTTCATTTTCAACAATGGAAGATCGCAAATGAAAATGGTGTCGTCATACAGCCTTCAATGTCTTATCTATTCAAATCCCGACTATATAATAAAACAATTATGGACTCTTTTGGTGTTGAATATGGTTTGTTATTCACCAGAAAAATATCCATATTGACCTCGGCTTCGCCTCGGTCAATATGAATATTTTTCTGGTGAATAACAAACCATATTCAACACCAAAAGAGTCCATAATTGTTTATTAGTTACATGTACACGTCTACGTATGCAAAAATAGTGATAGGATAGTGCAATAAATTCAATGAACAGCATTGTATTTATTATTTTTAATTTAGACAAATCTTGAGAGTTATGGCCCTTGTCATGGACGGCAGGCTTTTCGCGTCGCTCCGAGTATATTGAATTTATTTTGCCTATTTTTCCTATTCTGGAGCGCTGTATGCTAATTAAATTGTGTGATTAGTATTGTGGTTTGTGTGCCGCAACTAAATATATACAACGAACTGTGAGTATCAAATTATAATATTTTGAACATTGAAAATCAAAACTGCAGCAAGTAGTAAATCCAACTGAACACTACTCAGCGCTACTCAGTATGCAGAAGGTACAAAGAAACCTGTCGATACACTTTTCAACAAAATTTTACAAGGGTATAACTCATGAAGATGTACTAGACGGGGTAAAAGAAAAGATTGACATTGATGATATAAAAGCAATTCAGATCACAGAAAAGGAGTGTTTTGTAACTCTAAAAAGTGAACAAACAAAAGAAAAACTATTAATGTCCGGTGTAACGGTAAAAAATCGAACAGTCTCATTGTATGAAGTTGACAAACAAATCACGAATGTGACAATCAAAGATGCCCCTATTGAACTACCAGACACTTTCATAACTACAAATATGATGCAGTATGGTCAGGTAGTAGCAGGCAGCATGAAGCATGACACTGTTAAAAATACGTCTATTGAAAACGGCACACATTACTTGCAAATACTAAACTGTGCACCTACTCTACAAAACAGAACAAAATTTGGAGATCACGAGGTCAGAATCTTTGCGGATAATAATCTCACGCAATGCCCATATTGCGGAAAATCTTATCGACCCTCGTACAAATGCCTATACAAACCCAAAAACAAAACAATTTGCTTTAATTGTAACAAACAAGGCCATTTAGCCACAGACTGTGAAAATGAATCTGTGTGTAGATATTGTAAAGAAGAGGGCCATAGCAAGGAAAACTGCGAGTTACTTTCAGAAGAAATGGTACAAAAGAATGGTAAATATGCCGCAGATATCAATGAAGGCAGAGAGGTTTTAAACGACGATGACCAACGAAGCGAAACTGACAGTACGGAAGCAGACACGCATGACGATCAGATCAACACCGTTATTCTGGGGGCGTCAAACTGCAAGCGCATTCAAAAGCTTCCGCCAAATCTCTTAAACGCTTCGGTCTCTGGGTCATCCTACGAAAATGTGTCACAATTACTAGAATACGCTAAGAAAAAATTAGACGAAACTACACCTGAAAACGTAATCGTTCATTTAGGAACAAATGATGTTACCAGATGTCAAGACGAAATCGGGGATTTAACCGGCAATGTTATGATGGGTCTTAACAAGATTCAAGAAACTTTCCCCGAGGCTCGAATTGCAGTATGCACAATCATACCCAGGAAAGTAAAAAGCGCCGCGATTAAAAAGAATGAACAACACTTGGCATGTTAATAAGTTCCTTGAAAAATTGTGAAAAAAAAATAAGGAAAAAAAAAGAATGTGTATTTTTTCATGGTTGAGTAAATGCAAATACGATATTATTTGTTCACAAGAAACACATGGGACAGATAAAGAAAAACAAAAGTAGGAAAATGAATGGAAAACATTTAAAGGGTCAAATTCTATTTGGAATAATTGGTCTACCGAATCACGGGGTGTGGGGATGTTATTCATGATCAAAAAGCCCGAATTTAAAATCACAATTTTTTTTTTCTGACAGAGAAGGAAGGGACATAACCGTTAGCATAAAAAATATTGACTTAGTAAACCTTAAGTGTATCTACAGACCGAATAACGGAGTTGATAGAAAACAGTATTTTAACTCACTAAAATTTGACAAAACAGCTCATCATAAAATTATATGCGGTGACTTTAATTGCACTCAAAACAAGCAGCTTGATAGGTATCCCGTGCTCTTACGAAAAGATGTTGCGGTATCAGAACTTAATAAATTAATTAAATGATGTGAATTGCAGGATATTTGGCGAGAGATAATGAATTTATAGTTTTGAAATAGGAAAGAAAGTTTAATAGTTGTTTTATTTATCATTATTATAATTTGTCAAGTCCCCTGAATAGCTCAATACCTATTTAATTAATTTATTAAGTTCTGATACCGCAGGATATTTTATATTGGGGGGGGGGACTTTACTAAATATAAAATATTTATATAAAATGTCAAAAAAATTAAACGTTAATAAACAAAAACTACAAAAATTAGAAAAAGAATTAGAAGAGATTAAAAACAATCCTACAACTAATCAAAAGTATCAAAATGACCTTGAGCAAAAAATAAAAGAAATTTATATAGATAAGACAGAAGCGGCAATAATACGATCAAAATGTAGATGGTTTAAAGAAGGAGAAGCTCCTTCGAAATATTTCTTTCAATTAGAAAAAAAAGTAATGGAGAGAAAAAATTGTGGAATAGAGTAAAGACAGAAAATGGCACCTATGAAACTGACATTGATTCAATCATCGAAGAGCAAATTAATTTTTATTACAAATTATTAAATACGGAAGGATGGGATAGTGAAAGTGGGGAATTATTATCAGCGGAAGTACAATGTAAATTAGACGATTATGATGTAACATGCTCGATAGTGATATAAATGATAAAGAAGTATATCAAGCAGTGATGTCATTAAAGCCAAATAAATCTCCTGGTGAAGATGGGATTTTATCAACTTTTTATCAGACGTACTGGGATATAATTAAAAATGAATTTTCAAAAGTTCTAAAGCACATTTTTCATGGGGCCACACAGTGTGACTCACAAACAAAAGGAGTCATTTCATTAATACATAAAGGGAATGAAAGAGAAGATATAAAAATTGGAGACCTTTAACAATGTTTAACAATGATTATAAAATTATTGCTAAAATACTCGCCGAGAGATTAAAAAAGTACTACCAAAATTAATTCATCCAGACAAAAAGGATTTGTTAAGGGTAGAAATATCAGTGACGCAAATAGATTTATTCAAGATATCATTGATTATGCTGATAATGAAGATTTACAAGGGGCAATTATATTTCTAGATCAACAAAAAGCGTTTGATAGAATTGAATGGGGCTGGATAGAAGCAACATTAAAAAGATTTAACTTTGGTAAAAAATATTGCGATTGGATAAAAATGCTACTTATTAAATCAAAAACATGCATTAAAACTAATGGATTTGTATCAAAATACTTTTCAATATCAAGGTCGGCGAGACAAGGTTGCCCTATTGACCATTGCTTTGTGTTCTTCAAATAGAGCCTATGGCCTGCGCAATTAGGCAAAATCTGCAGATAAAGGGCATTTTAATTCCTAATGAAGAACAACACATAGAATATAAAATAAATATGTTCGCAGACGATACTCAAATATTTAATAAGGACGAAGAATCTATAATAAATTCCTTCAATTCCTATTGATACTAATGCAACTTGGTTGGAAAAAAATAGAAAAAATAATGAACAGCTTGCATGTCTGGAAAACTAGGAACCTTACATTCAAAGGGAAAACGTTGATAATAAAAAATTTAATGATTCCAATTATTGGTTATGAAATCGAAATGAGGGGAATACCGGATATATATGCAAAAGAAATAAATGATATTGTCTAGTCTTTTATTCGGGATAATAAATTGAATAAAATTGACAGAAATGTGTGCTGCTTAAGCAAGAATGAAGGAGGGATGAACATGATAAATATCTTTAATTTTATAAAAAGTAAACAAATAAAAGCAATTTATAAAATCAAGCATTCAAAGGTAGAAACATGGAATGCTATTGGTAAATATTGGTTACAGAGTAAAAATATGCATTTCAGTCAGGAATATTTCTTATGCACTTGTTCAGATTTATCTCCAATTTCCTTAAATAACATGTCTAGTTTTTATAAAAAAGCACTCATCGCATTTAGCGAATTTCAGTCAGAGAATCGAGAGGAAATACTTAACTTCTTACTCTTTGGTAATAAACTCATACAATTCCAAGGGAAAAGTCTATATGTGGAATCATTTATTAAAAGTGGTTTATTAAAAATTAAAGACATTTGGAATGATACGGAAAAATTGTTTTGAATATAATGACACAATTTTTAATAGATTATCAGATAAAAGATGTTGGATATTTGAATACAGTAAGATAAAATCAGCCATTCCTAAACTGTTTTATCCAATACTGAACAGAAACAACTCAGTATCTAAAAGCGAAACAAAACTTCCTTATAAATTGAATAATAATTTACTTAT